CATCTACTACTCTGAACGAGGACTTTGATCAAAAGAAAGCAGGGGCAAGGTTCAATCATTGGGCTTATGATCTAGGGATTTCAGAGGAGCTAACTTGCATTCAAGAGAGAAATTTGAAGCACTCAAAAAAAGTAACAAGATAAAAGGAAATTGATCGAAGAGAACACAAGTAATCAAAGAGAAAGAATAAGAACATCAAGATGTCAGATTTTGTTAAAAGGGGATACCAAATTTCACTAGAACAAGGATGAAGAAGAGATGGACAATCATACCATTAGCTTGGTCAAATGCTTGGAACTTGTTATCTCACCTAGATTTAGAGACCTAAGAGATGAAAACTCACTTAAAAATGGCAAAATGCTGTTATTGAAGAAATTTCCTTCCAAGTTGAGGATTTCCAAATTACTCAACTTCTTTGAAAGCTTAACAAAACCTGCAAACAGATCACATGAATTGTAATTTTGGTTCAATTAAAATAGAAAATAAATGTATATGGGAGAATAAGAATGAGACGAATATACTTATATACATATTGAGATGATCGTGATAATCACAAAATTAAGTTGGAAGATAGATATAAACCTTCATTTTCAATGCAACCAGCTTTCCCATTTCCAGCCAAATACAGACTCCTCAAATCTTCTAGTGGAAGAAACAAATACGCATTCAGATACATGAGATTCTCCAATTCCATAAAATCAAACGTGGGATTCCCATAGCGAGGTAGAGACATGTCACTATCAGATTCTTGGAACTTTTTGTAATTGAAATTGGGTGTTATGACTTGTCCAGTGGTAGAGTTGCACTCAACCCCCTCCCATTGACAACAATTTGAATTTTCCTCTCCTCTCACCCACTATTTTTTTGGACTAAGGATTATCAAAAAAAGGCTTGAGTTGGAGGAGAACAGTTCTCTCATGGTCCCAACACCCTTGGCACCACAGCCCTTCTAATAAGAGGAGTGTAAGTAGCACATACGTTAAGCATTTCGACTCCATCAAAATAAACTCAGATCAACCACCAAGCACAGCTATTGTTTCTGTGCCATTTCCAGCAATTCACCTGGGACCTTTATATACGCAAGTAAGAAAATATTCCATAACTCCGTGTTTTGTCATAAATGGGTCATGCGCATTACTAATTCAACTCAACGGTTACCATAACTCCATGTTTTGCCACAACAAATTTTTTTGAGTGGGTCTCACATATTTGCATAGTAAATCCATTCATGGAAAAAAAATTTTAAAAATTGAGGCCAACGTACATGACACAATAATTTTTAATGGTGGGTCCCACAATTTCCTTATAAAAAAAAATTAAGGGCATTTTGAGGTTTTGAAAGTTTTAAGGTTATTAAGAGCTAAAATTAAAAGTCTAGGGATTGTTTTTGTTATTTAACAAGTTAGAGTTAACGGGGTTAGCAATAGATCTATTAACGGACCTAGCGGTTTCCACCCAATTAAGATCTTATTTGAGAATCATGACAACTTTAAGGTCTTAATCGAGTGTCATAAAATTTTGGAATCTTAATTGCAAATTTGGTGTAAGTTTGGGACCTTATCCATTACTTTAGCCTTATTTATATCCTTTTTGATTTTCTTTAATTCTTTATTTCGTTAAAAAATGATTGTAACAAGTTGATTTATATTCAGATGAGATTATCAAGGGAAGGAGGAATTTATACCTTCATTACAATAAATGTATTAATTATAACGGAAAAAAGAGAATCATATGGCAATTGAAATTATTGGGTTTGGGGCTTTGATGTACTAGCATTTTTTTTAACGAAGTAATATATACAAGAGAGACCCTGACCCTTTTTTTTTTTAACAGTTAATGTGTTTTTAGAGCAGTTTTTGCATATTTCAAGACTAATTCCTCAATAAGTGGTTCCTTGCTTTCTATGTGCACTTATCTCAAACCATAAAAAATTTTTTCATAAACATTTTAAAACCTTAAATCTTTATGTGAATCAACCCCAAACCACAAGTAACTAAATTGTAATTTTCCCTATACCACCTCATCTAAACACATGTAACTCTATGTTGTGGGAGAAGGTTGTGACACAACAATGCTAAAAAATAAGTCATAAAGAATTATCATTCATTGTTAATAATAATAATCTTCAAGAGATTTTG